TTTTTTTTTTTTTTTAGTTCGTGGCGTTGTTGGTGACCCAGTAACGAGTCTCTCTGGGGGTGTTCAAGAGACACTCTTCTGAACCAGAAGATCCAGAGTTTTCCAGCCAATAAACCATTTCAAAGAAATTTTTACAAAGGTTTTCAGATCTGATAATCATTCATGGTGATCTACGGTCAGCGCATAAACTCCATGACTTACTGCCTTTCCATAGGCCTTACTGCATCGCGCCCCATTCCAGAAACACCATGGACCATTTTCAGATCCAAATAAAAGTTCACAAAAATTTACAAAACAGAAATTAAATAAAGCAATAAAAGGTAAACCATAATTCATAGATCCAGAACGCAATAACCTTATATATATATATATATATATATATATAAAGACAAATTTTGCTAAATTGGAAGGTTAAATCTTTTATTTGAGAAAATAATTTTTGGGATACAAATAAAGTTTCTTAGAACAAGAGAAAAAAAAGTTTATAAAACAAACACACTCCATTGGTTAGAGATCTTTTAAGTAACGAACAAAAACAAAATCATAATGACTTATATTCAAAATGAATAATATTTAACTCTTGCATAACTGGGCGATCCACCATAATAAATAAAAAAAATTACAAAAATAAATTAATAAAAAAACTATTTACCAAACTAAATAATTTTGGCCACATCGGATTTGGAGGAAAGAAGAAAGCGTCAAAGATAGAGACGATTTGAGGAACTGTGCACGTGGTGAGAAAGCAACATAAAATGTCAGCATGGTTGACGTTTTCTGTGCAAAACAAAATTAACAAAAAACGTCAATGATGGTGACGTTTTCTGCACAAAGAGGAACTAGGCACGCAACTCATCATCTTATGTGATGCCTCTCTCTTCGCCAATAATATTACTATTCCTCTAACAAGAGCCTCGGAGTGTCATTATATAGTTTATGTTATTAACATATCATATCACATTTTAGGGAAATAATACACTATATTCCTGGGCCCCATATTTAAGGAATAAGCTTCATATTCTAACTTGCTGAGATAAGATAAAGGTTTTAAAAGTCAATGACAAAGAGCACTACCTAGTATCTACACAACACACATGAAACAATAAGAAATAATGGAAACATCCATCCACACTTGTTGAATTTAAATTTGTAACAATATATCAAGGCAAATAATTAGATGTCTCTTAATTTTATTTTATTTTTTCCTCTTTAATATATGAGGTCATGGAACAAGATCAAACATTCTGGCCACAGATGCCAGAATACCAAAGTTATTCACATAATGTGTTCTTGATGCTTTCATCAAATTTTTACCAAAGGTTTGTACAGATTTTTGGGAAGGGAGAGTTTGCGTGCCTAGTCCCTAAACCCTCAACAGGTGCAGAAAGCGTCACTCATAGTGACGTTTTTCATTGAGTTTGTTTTGTACAGAAAAGGTCACTATCATTGACGTTTTTCATTGATTTTGTTTTGCACAGAGAACGTCAACCATGCTGACGTTTTCTGTTACTTTCTCTCTCCTTCGTGTTTCACGTGGTCAAACGTGCACAGTATTTTACATGAAAGCATAACTCAGAGTAACGTTTTCCAAATCATCTCCATCTTTCACGCTTTCTTCTTTTTTCCAAATCCGACATGGCCAAAATTATTTAGTTTAATAAATAATTTTTTTATTAACTTTTTTTTATAATTTATTTTTTATTTATTTATTATGATGGATCAACCTGCATAGTTGTGTGTACAAATACTCTAAAATAATCCAACAAAAATAACAAAAACTAATCATCCTCTTGTTAAAAATATATCCTCTTCAAACAAATCAACAAAATAATCCTAAGACATGGTGTAACATAAGTTGGAAAAGGGTGAAAGTTGAGTTTTAGAGTGTATTTGGTGCAAGGGATTTGTGTGGAAGTGAAGAGAATATTCGGTGACACCCACATGCATTTTCATACCCTCATCATATACGAGAGGATTAGAGAAGTCGGGTTTTTTGCTTTTCTATCCTCCATTTGAAGTCAATTTTATAATATGTAAAGAATAATTGTGTAATTTAATTAATAATATTAATTTTTATTTTTATTTAATCTAATATAAACCAATTAAATAATTCATATTCTCTTCTACTTCTCTATCAAACAACCTTAAATTCTAATATATTTTCTACTTACTTACATTCCCTTCTCTTTTTTTTATTCTCTTTATTTTTTACTTGTATACCAAACACTGTATAAATGAGATAGAGCAGAACATGAGGACCACTAGCTGACTAAGATTTTTTTTCCTTGAAAAGGGTAAAAAGGAAAAAGGGTTGTAAAACAGAAGAGTGTGGGGAAATTAAGGGAGAAAAAACGGAAGTGAGTTAAATAATGATTTTGTCATTGAGAGGGAAAAAAGGTAAATCTTTATTGTTGAGTTGGAAGAACATCTGACAGAAAAGAAAAGAATAAAAGTCTTTTGTGTGTTTTTTTTTCTTTCTTTGATTGCGGAGCACGTGACAAAGCGTAACCGCTGAAATTGGAAATGGCGTCAGAAGTAACAACTAATCTATTGCTATGTTACAGCTCAGTTCTTTCTGTCAACACTACATTGTATTCTCAAGGGAGAGCCCCACCTTCAATGAGACCATGCATGATCCACTTGCAAGGGAATAACATAAAATTCTCTCTAGAGGCCCATAACTTCCTAGCCTTTTCTTAGGCTCTGTACTATATAATTAAACCACATTGCTAATGTCTTTGATATTTATTACTCTTTGTCAATCAGCAAAGCCTCTCATCTTTTCTCCAAAAATGACAACATTCATGCTGAATTTTATGCTTCCTCTACTTTTCCTGTCCATGATTCTTCCAAAACCAGGTAACAGAAATGTGCTTCCTCTATTTCAGAAATGTAAACATCAAAATGTTCCCGGTTACTTCTTTCCTCCCTCTATTATTCTTTATTTCATTATCATTGTTATTGTTTGATTAAATAGTTAGTTTAACACGGTCCTTTCCTTTGATTAAAATTAAACTTGTTTACGATAATGAGAATAAAAAAAATATTTTGTTAAAGCTAAAATTGACTAGTTATCTTAAGTAAAACTGAGTTTGAGTCTTGTATAGAATAAATAATATAAAAAAACAGTTGAGAGAGGAGAAGCCATTATAAGTAACCAGCCATGTTTCCAAAGAAGATTAGTTATGGGTGAAGTTGATGGATACTTCTTACCAATAATATGGTTAAAAATAAAAACTAAAATTGATTACATGATAGATTTGATCTTGGACATACATATTTATCCTCAACATAGTGTTCTTACAAAGTACATTACATTCAGCGAATGCAGAGTTGGAGCAATGGTGTGTAGCTGATGAGCAGACCACGGAGAATGAATTGCAGGCAGCCTTGGATTGGGCTTGTGGGAGAGGAGGTGCAGATTGTAGCAAAATTCAAGTAAACCAACCTTGCTATTTTCCAAACACATTAAAAGACCATGCTTCTTATGCCTTCAACAGCTACTATCAGAAGTTCAAGCACAGTGGAGGTTCTTGCAACTTTAGAGGTGCAGCCATGCCAACAGAAGTGGATCCTAGTAAGTATAAAACAGATAATCACTCTGATTTATTTTTTGGTTTTATGTAGGACAGATGCATGTTCACGTAGCAACGAGTGCAATTTAAATGGACCTGATGCTTGAAGGTTAAGTATATATTCTACAAATAGATCTAAAACCCCTAAACTACATTCAAACTACTTCGGTCTGTGTGAAACAGAATTTTGGACTGAATTGACTTTAGTAATGTTCTCACTCTCGGCTAACAAATTTTAGACCAATCAACTGATGAATAATTATACTTTAGGGAACGCAATAGATTAGGATTTTGAAAGACTTTTTTGATAAAAAAAAGTTTTGTGGTATTCAATTCAAACTTTTTTTTTATACAAAAATATTTTGTGATATTCTAATAGAAAAAGTCGTTTAGTGTTCAAAAATCAGTTTTTATCATCTCGTTTTTTGTAGTTTGGTTCACCCTGTTAATCCATCAGAACCCGAAGAAATTACTCTTTCACACCTTTTTCCCCTTTCATCATCTTTTACACCACTTCATTGTGCACAAGAGTTGTCCATGCAAGGTTTCACTTACGAGTCTCTTTTCAGTTGTCAAGGATTGGAACAATCCCGGATTTAAGTTGATCTAAGTTTTGCATCACAGAAGAAGTGTTTGAATAACCTTTGATTGCTTAATGTTTGTGCGCAGGTCATGGTTCTTGCCACTATGACTTCATCCCCTGATCACAACTGTGAATGAAGACTTAAAATAACTGCAGCAAAAACTAGACCTTTGTATGTCCCAAACTCCCAATCAAGCAATTTTTGTTTTGGGACTTTTTCTTGTATTATTGATAGAAATGAAATCTTACATTCCTCTTACACTAATAATTAATGTATGTCTGGTCCAATTGAACTGAATAGACAAAAAGGTAGTATGGTACTACTTTTTCCTGACTGGGACCCGCAAAGCCCAACCCAAATAAACTTGATACAAGCGGATCCAAAAGGAATAATTGAAATATGGTGATTCGTGAGTCAAGGTAGAAGGATCGAGTTTGTTATCGAGTTTGAAGAGTTTAATTCGTGGGAAAATAAAAACTGTGGCAGAAGAGAGAGAAAGAAAGATTCATTTTTCTAATGTACTGTACTGGTCCAAAGTATGACTCCTCACATATGAAAAAAAAAACACTTTTATATATTGTTAAACAGTGTGGTGGCAGGAACTATCGTTCTAATTAATTCAGTTGGTAGGACTTCAAAGTGATTAAGGATATTAAAAATGATTACTAGAATTTTCCTGGAAATTTCTTGTGAAAAAAGTTTGCTAAAATAAAAAAATTGCAACTTTGGTCTGAGTCCCTAGGAAAGGAAGAAAGGCATGGAAATGGGTAGTTTGGTGATGCAGGCACAAATATGGAGGTTTGTTTGTTTAATATCAAGTGTAGTAGGATTAGTTTGTTATGCTCTCAGTTCCTCTTTCAACCTTTTATTCGGAAAGTGGAACCTGCTGAAGATGCTGTCTTACAGTGTTTTCAGTTTCACAATCTGCTTAGCTGTTTGGTTTGCAAAGGTATGCCAACTTTCATACTCAAGGAATCTTATGTGCAAAGCTCATATGTCAGTTGTGGTTTTGACAGCCACATCAGTGTATTCCTTTTTCTATGACAAAGAAGTGAACACAAAGCCTGATGCATATAGTCTCATTTCTTGTGCTGCATTTGCTGTCATGTCTCTCAGCTTATCCAGGCAAACTCACCTGGGATTCGAATTGGATATCCTGTATTTCTTCTTAGGCTGTTTTATCTTACAACTCATGAAGATCAAATTGTTGTTAGTCATTGTTGGAGTCTGTTTTAGTTATTCTCTCATCATTCTTCGATCCTCTCTAGAATCATCAGATTATACCCTACCTCTATTCCACCACCCCGACATAACTGATTCATTACAACCCCATCCTGATTTTGCTCTTGTTGTGCCTGACTGTGGTAGTAATTACATGCAAACAGTGCTGAAGCACAACCTTGTTGCATGTGCCAAAGCAATTGCAGACACTGATTTGATAATGGCAGAATGGTTTGTGAGAAAAATAAGGGAGATGGTGTCAGTTTCTGGTGAACCAATGCAAAGATTGGGAGCATATATGTTGGAAGGGCTTGTTGCAAGATTGGAAGGCACTGGGGGCACAATCTACAAAGCTTTGAAATGCTATGAAGCAGCAAATGCCAAGCGGCTCTCCTACATGCACATGTTTCATCAAATATGTCTCCTCCACTTCAAATTTGGATACATGTGTGCAAATGGAGCCATTGCAGAAGCTATGAGAAACGAAGACAGAATTCATATAATTGATTTCCAAATTAATGAAGGAATTCAGTGGCTCACTCTAATTCGGGATTTTGCAGCAAGGGCAGGGGGAGCTCCCCACATTCGGATTACTGGTGTTGGTGATTCAACATCAGCTGATGCACTGCAAATGGTGGGAAATAAGTTATCAAAACTAGCTGAGGATTTGAAGGTGCCCTTTGAATTTCATGCTGTACCTGTCTCTGCTTGTGATGTTCAGTTACAAAACCTTCTAATTCAATCTGACGAGGTTCTGGCCGTAAACTTTGCATTCATCCTACATCATGTGTCTGAGAATCATAGGGACAGACTGTTGAGATTGGTTAGGAGCCTATCACCAAAGGTTGTCACACTTGTTGAACAAGAATCTAACACGAACATTGTGGAATTCTTTCCGCGTTTCCTTGAAACTCTGGACTATTATTCAGCGATGTTCGAGTCAATGAATGCTAATGTGGATCTTCCCGAAGAGTATAAAGAACGAATCTATATTGAGCAGATTTGCTATGCAAGAGACATAGTTAACATCATAGCTTGTGAAGAGGCTGAGAGGGTGGAACGGCATGAGCTGCTTGGAAAGTGGAGATTAAGATTTGCAATTGCTGGTTTCACTCCTTACCCTTTGAGTCCATCGGTAAATGCTACCATTAAGAAATTACTTGAGAACTATGGTGATAGATATAAATTTGAAGAGAGAGATGGAGCTCTCTATCTGGGTTGGATGGGTAGAAATTTGGTGGCTTCTTGCGCATGGACCAGTCTTTATGTTACTACCCCTGAAAGTTAGAAGGGGGACAAACCACAAGCTGACTCAAACGGGATAAAATATATCTGTATGTATTGTTCTTTGTTCTATGAGGCTGTTGTAATGTTACAATACTGCAGTCAAGTAGACTGATTAAAGAAAATAATAAATCCTTACAAATTTTCTGTTCCCTGCATTTACAATATATTACTATCAATTCCTGCATAATTACAGCCGTGAATCATGCCAACACTCTCCCTCAAAGTAAAGCGTAGACATCTCTCATGCCCAACTTTACAAGTAAGTCTTGGAAAGCTGGACTTGCAACGATTTTTAGTCAGAAAATCAGCAAAGCTATTTTCTAGTCTCTACATGGAACTTCAACAATTTTTTTTCAAACTTATCTTATATGAAATTATGAACAATCTTTTTTTGTCAGATTCTTTGAAATCTTGATTGCAAACTAATTATCATAATATAATTTCATAGATCATTCAATAGGAAAACCAAGGCCCTCTAAAAGTCATTTTAGCCATAATAATTCTTGTACCCCTTTAACCATTGCCCTATATTCAAATTCTGGATTAGACAATGATACAACCTTTTGTTTATACTCGTCCAAGTAACTAGATTACCTTCAACAACAGTGAAGTATCCAATTGCTGATTGATGCTTTTCCCCCTACAACGCCCCAATCTGCATCACAAAATTCAGTTATATTTGCATGCTTATGCTTAGAAAACATAAGACCCTTCCCAGGTGCTGACTTCAAATACTGCAAAATCCTAACAACAACACCACACCCATATGAACTTTACTCTGATTATGCATAAAGTGACCAACCACACTAACAACATAAATATATAGTCAAGTGAGTGATAACTGATAAGTAAACTAGTCGCGAGTCTTGAGTCTTTGATATTTTCCCTTGTCAGTAGGAACATGACCAGGAATTTCCTTCGAGCCAAGATTTTGCATAGGCATAGCAGCAGGCTAACAACCAAGCATACTAGTCTCTTTCAATAGATCAAGGACATATTTTTGTTGTAACAAGAATATTCCTTGCTTAGACTTGATAACTTCAATGGCTAAAAAAATACTTTAAACCTCCAAGATCTATCGTATGAAATTCTGATTGCAAGTGAATCTTCAACTTACTCATGAAATAATCACCGATAACAATCATGTCATTCACATAGATGATAAGTGCAGTTATCTTACCATTTTTTTTTCACAAATAAAGTATGGTCTGCAATGTTTCAAGTTTTTTAACAAGGTAGAATGGCACTACTTTTTCTGGATTTGGACTCGAGAAGCCCAACCCAAATAAACTTAGCCCAACAAACTGATGCAAAAGGAATATAATTAAAATATGAGGATTTGTGAGTCAAGGTAGAAGGATCCAGTTTCTTATCGAGAGTTGGAATCTAGAAATGAAAGAGTTCAATTCGAGGGAAAATAAAAATTGTGGCAGAAGAGAGAGAATAGAAGATTCATTTTTCTAATGTAATGATCTATTGCAAGTACGGCACTCACATTTGGAACAAGTCACTTTTATATATTATCAGAGTGAGACAGAAAAGAAAATTCATTTTTTTAATGTAACGGTCTAAAGTATAGCCATCACATTTGAAACAATTCACTTATATATTTTGTTAATGACCGTGCACGACACCAGCTTAACTATCATTAGTCTTCGGTTTGAGTCTCTGATATATAATCACTTATAATAGTCCTATTTGATTAAGCAAGATTGTCTTATGTATACCTGTTTTTTTTCATATAAAATATTGTGTTGGTAGGTATTCTGGTTATACTTGGAATTTGGGATGAGTTTAATTTAATGAGACAATTCCCTTAGAAAAGAATGGCTCCCAAATGGGGAGATGGGTGATGCAGGCACAAATATGGAGATTTGTTTGTTTGATTTTAAGTGTAGTAGGACTAATCTTTTATGCTCTCAGCTCCTCCTTCAACCTTCTATTTGGAAAGTGGAACCTGCTCAAGATTTTGTCCTACAGTGTTTTCAGTTTCACAGTCTGTTTAGTGTTTGATTTGCAAAGATATGCCAACATTCACACTCAATGAATCTCATGTGCATAGCTCATCTATCAGTTGTAGTTTTGACAGTCACATCTGTGTATTCATTTTTCCATAACTTTTGAGTTCATTAATGAATAGTACAATTAAGAAATTGCTCGAGAACTATGGTGATAAATATAGAATTGAAAAAAGAGATGGAGCTCTTTTTCTGGGTTGGATGAATAGAGATTTGGTTGCTTCTTGTGCATGGAATTGAATGAGGTCTTTTAGTTACAAGGGGGACAAACCACAACCTATTCTCGTTCTATTTCTTATTTTGTTCCATTACTAGCTGTATGTCAATGGAAAGCCTAATTAAATCTCATCTAATTAGTTGTTCATTTATTGTGTTTCAAGAGATTTCTTAAGAAAATGAATTAAAAATCTAATTCAATTTTACAAAATTGACTCAATAGCAAATGTACCTTAGGCTATAACTGTCGGCATGCATGTTTGTATACCACCAATATTAATCTCTCGTTTCAAAATCCTTTTTCACGACCCTGGATTCTGATTTCTGAGCAATCAAACGCTTGACGTATTAATATCTAGGATAAATACCTTGGATGAGGGACCAGGGAAAGTAATTTCCTTATGCATTGGAACTATGGAAGAGTAATATGTATTAGTAGCTAACTGGCTATGTTATCATATATTTCGTATCTAAGTTATGCTGTTATCAAATACTACTAGTATTTCCCTAACGATGTGTAGTATAGTTGCAGATAGTTATAATCTTGAAACATGTGGTCATGAATGACGTTGAAAAAATATCTATCAAAACAAGTTAGTTTTTTAAATGAATCTATCTAGGATCACTTCAAGCTATAATCTTTGTTGGCTTTCGACCGAAGGATACCTTCGAGAGAAAAAAAAACTGGTATTACTTTAAGCTTTTTTAAAAATTGACAATTAATAATTAACTTACATTTGTGTTCAAACACTATTTTAGAACTGTATGAATTGATCATAGAAGCACTCGACCAACTCTCTATGTGTCCCAAAACAATGTTATTTTAAACTTTTTCATACATAGTGTTGGGATTCAAACAAGTCCCACATCGATAAAATAATACAACAAATAACAACTTATATAAGGTACGATTACTAGGAACGCAATTTCTTGATTCTAGAATTGTTGAAAAAATTCTAGTAACTATACCTGAAAGATATGAAGCTTCAATAGCAGCTTTGGAAAACACAAAGGATCTGAGTAAGATCACTTTGGCAGAAGTGTTACATGCATTGCAAGCATTAGAACAAAGGAGGCTTATGAGAGAAGAAGGATCCGTGGAGGGTGTATATTTAGCCAAATGGAAGAACAAAAATAGTGGCAAAAACAAGAAGAAGGAATTGTTTCAAGAGAACAGTCAACATAATAACACTCAAATTTTTTCACCATGTCCTTATTGTAAAAAGACTAATCATCCACAACAAAGATGTTGGTGGAGACCTGATGTAAAATGTGACAATTGTGGAAAATTAGGACACCTAAAACATGTATGCAAATCTCATGAGCAACAAGAAGAAGCCAACATTGTTGAAGATCAACAAGAAGAGGGAGAAGAAGAACTACTTTCAATGTCATGCTTTATGACCAAAAAACCCTCAAAAGCTTGGATTATTGATAGTGGTTGTACAAATCATATGACCTATGATCGAGAACTCTTCAAAGAACTCAACAAAACTGATATCTCTAAAGTTCAAATGGGGAATGGAGCACACCTTGCAGTAAAAGGCAAAGGAACACTTGCTATTAAGAGTCATTCAGGTTTTAAATTAATATCTGATGTTTTATACGTTCCTGATATTAACCAAAATTTGTTGAGTGTTTCTCAATTATTAGGAAAAGGCTATAAAGTGTTATTTGAAGATAAAAATTGTGTGATTAAAGATATACACAACAAAGAAGTGTTCAATGTTCATATGAAAGGCAAAAGTTTTGCTTTAAATTTGGAGAAGGAGGAGCCAATTATAAATGAAGATACAAGTGAAGAGCACAAAGATGCATGTCTTCAAAAGAAGTTTGATGATCAAGAGGAGAATGAAGATGATGAAAAATCACCTTCAAAAGAGAAGTTCGAGACAAATGTTAAAGTGGTCCCACTCAAGAAGAATTACAACAAAAATCACAAAAAGAAGAAACCAATCAAAAAGAGAAAAGGCAGATTTTGAAACTCAAATTAGGTGATAAAGATATTCAGTCAAGGAGGAGTGTTGGGAATATGCCTAAATATCTTTAGAAGATTAAGTTAGTTTTTTATAAGAATATTTTATTTATATTTCAAATATTTAGATTTAATCTGTTCTGATTATTTTAAGATTTATTTCCTTATTTTAGAATAGGATAATATCAATATTTGATTTTGTATAACAAATTTTCTCTATAAATAGAGACTCATGAATAAAATTATATTATGCTCCTCTGATAAAAAAAAAAAAGTCTTATAAAATATCCTCTCAAACAAATATCATAAAATAACCCCATCATTAGTATCAAGAGCTAAGGTTACGATCTTGGAGATGGAAGCAGAAACAAACTTTTCACAAATTTCCCCACCTATTTTTGATGGAGAAAGTTACGATCTTTGGGCGGTGAGAATGGAGGCATACCTAGAAGGTTTAGATCTCTGGGAAGCTGTAGAAGAAGATTATGATGTTTCCGCGTTGCCAGAAAATCCTACCGTAGCCCAAATGAAAATTCACAAGGAAAGGAAAATCAAGAAGGCAAAGGCAAAAAGTTGTCTCTTTGCCTGTGTTTCACAAAATGTTTTCACAAGGATCATGACTCTCAAATCGGCAAAAGCAATTTGGGATTATCTAAAGGAAGAATATGCTGGAGATGAAAGGATTCGAAGCATGCAAGTATTAAATTTAATGAGAGAATTTGAAATACAAAGAATGAAGGAGACAGAGACAATCAAACAATACTCTGACAAACTGCTTGGCATTGCTAATAAGGTACGATTACTAGGAACGCAATTTCTTGATTCTAGAATTGTTGAAAAAATTCTAGTAACTATACCTGAAAGATATGAAGCTTCAATAGCAGCTTT